CCCGCCGCAACCATGTTCCGCACTGCAGCACCTCCTGCTGTGCCCTCGAACTTCGGCAACGTCAGCGGCGTGTCCGCTCACGCCAGCTCTTCCGTCTCAGGATCCGTAGCCCGTCACCACACCGACAAGGCGCTTGCCAGGTATCCGCATCGTCTCAACTTCTACACGCTTCCGCCCATCCACGAGGTCACCATCGAGCACTTTGAGTCGTGGGCCATCGACCGCCTCAAGGTGCTGGCCGAGATCGAGTCGTCGCAGGCGCGCAACCGCACCTACGGCGAGACCAAGGATGCAGTCAACGCGCTCGCCAAGCGCCTCCTCCCTCTCAATGCCAACACCGCCAACAAGACGGCCGACCTGCTCGCAGAGCGTCTCAAGGACCACGTCAGCCACTTTGTGCTTCGTCTCGCATTCTGTCGCAGCGATGATCTGCGCAGGCGCTTCGTCAAGGCAGAGTCGCTGCTCTTCCGTCTGCGCTTCGAGACCGACGATGCCTCCGAGCGCGAGAGCTTCATGCGCTCACTCAACCTCGACTGGAACCCCGTGTCTAACGAGGAGAAGAACCAGTATCGCGAACAGCTCGTCGCCACCCACCCAAAGATGGCCTCCACCTTTGACAGCGAGACCTTCTTCAAGGTGGACTGGACGCGTGTCACGGATCTCGTCGAGAAGCGCAGGGTGTTCATGCGTGCCGGTCAGGCTTGGGTGCCCATCAAGGAACAGTCGAGTCTCGTGCTGGCCGAGTTCCAGTCGCGCCTCATGCGCGATCTCGAGATGACCGCACGCGCGCTTCCGCGTCTGGACGAGGATGACCGTCTTCTGCCCGTGCTCTCCCACCTCAGCATGGGCTTCCTAGCCGGCATCTCGACCGACTATACTGGCTCCAGCATCACTGCTGATGGCACCACCACTGTGACGGCAGGTATGGTGGATGCGCTCGTCAAGACGCACGCTCCGCTCTGCATGAAGAATCTGCACTCCACCCTCACCGCCACGGGCCACCTCAAGCACTACGGCCGACTGCAGTACAACCTCTTCCTCAAGGAGCTCGGTCTGCCCGTCGAAGAGGCGCTCGTCTTCTGGCGTCGAAGCTTCAAGCACATCACCGACGACAAGTTCAACAAGGAGTACCGCTACAACATCCGCCACGGCTACGGTCTTGAGGGCAGGAGGATGAACTATCCCGCCAAGAGCTGTGCGCGCATTCTCACGCAGGATCAACCTGGTCCCCAGGACTCGCACGGATGTCCCTTCCGCCATTTTTCCACCACCAACCTCTCCTCCGCCATGGTGCAGCACTACGGGCTCAGCCCCGCGGAGCAGTCCGAGATTCTGGCATCGGTCAAGCAGGGTCACTACCACGTCGCATGCACGCGCATCTTTGAGATCACACACCAAAAGCAGGGCGTCAAGAAGGGTCAGGGTCTCGATGGCAGAGGCGAAACCGTCACCCACCCCAACCGATACTTTGAAAGCAGCTGGAAACTCGCACAGGCCGAAGGCGGCGCCGATGCCTCGGAAGCGGCCGTACGCAGCTCGCCCGAACACGAGTCGAGCTCGTCACCAGAGCCCTTGCCCGCACCGGCAGCCGCTGCCGATGCATCCGTCCAGTCTGCCACAGCCGCAGACGGCATGGACGAGTCGTGACCCTGTCCCTTCAGTTCCTTGTACTTTCGTTCGCTCCAATACCTATTCATGCATTCACGGAAGCGCGAACTCACGCAGTCTGACACCTGGCCTGGGCCTATCTGAGACCAAGCACAAAGGTCACGATCCAAAAAGAAAGAAAAAAAGAAAGGTTTGAGGCGATCCCAGATGCGCAGCTTTCAAGCAACTCCAACGAGGAAGTAGATGCTCCCTATCCGCCTTGGACCCCGTCGGATACGTGCAGCTGAGGTTCAGTGTGTGAGGTGCTCGGGCGACCGACTCCCTCGAGCCCGAAGGCTATTGATCCCCAACTCAATGGGTCGCCACACTGGCTTACTTGCCGAGCGGGCATCCACTGCTGGACGCGCGCTGAACAGCAGCTCCTCAACCATCCGACGGAAAGGCTAACATTTGTGGGGCGCGCTTTGGCAGAGACCTCATTCCGAAGGTGCACCCATTACAGGTACTAGGGGTGCAACACATTCCTCCTGACTGAGCTGTGTGTTGGTCGCTGCGCTTTGGGATGGCCGTTGCTGCAGAAAATTGCCAGATCACTTTTTCATCCAACGCTTGCGGAACTCTCCTTTTGAATTTGAAAAAAAAGGGATGTCGCTGGAAGAAAATTCAAAACAGATTGACTGGAGTCACCCTGCCCAGGCTCTGCTCAGGCGAGTTGGGCATCGCTGCCAAGCGGGCGCCATTTGGACGGTAGAGGCATGAGAGAGAGGCAGAGAGATGAGACCGGCCCGCTCGCAAGGTGGGTGCGGAGCAAGGAGGAGCTACGAGGAAAGCAGTCAACCTGCGCAGCGCCCACCTCCAGGCACAGCGACAGCCGCCGCATCGCACGTGCGGCTTGACGGGCGGGCGGGTCTCCGTCAAAAGCGTCGAGTGTCGTCGCTGGTGCATCTTGACTTGCTGGGTTTCCATCTCTCGGCATCGATTGATCACCAACCCCTGTTTCCTGTTGGGAACGACCCGTTTCCAACCCCCCTTCTCTGCTTCACATTCATCATGGCTGCGATGCCAAAACCCTCCGACTCCAAGACGGGCGGCAAGGCCACCGTCTTGCTCGGATCCCAGTGGGGCGATGAGGGTAAAGGCAAGCTCGCCGATGTGCTCAGCGGCCAGATGGACGTCTGCGCACGCTGCGCCGGCGGCAACAACGCCGGCCACACCATCGTCGCCGACGTCAACGGCGTCAAGACCAAGTTCGACTTCCACCTGCTCCCCTCGGGTCTCGTCAACCCGCGTTGTGCCGGATTCATCGGCTCGGGCGTGGTGGTGCACGTGCCGTCGTTCTTCGCCGAGCTGGACAACATCCAGAAGAAGGGCCTCAACTGCGACGGCCGTCTCTTCATCTCGGACCGAGCTCACCTCGTGTTCGACTTCCACCAGGTTGTCGACGGCCTCAAGGAGGTCGAGCTCGGCGGTAGCAGCATCGGCACCACCAAGAAGGGCATCGGTCCGGCCTACTCGTCCAAGGCGTCGCGCTCCGGTCTGCGTGTCCACCACCTCTACGACCAGGAGCTCTTCGCCTCCAAGTTCCGCAAGCTCGTCGAGGGCCGCTTCAAGCGTTACGGACACTTTGAGTACGACACCGAGGGCGAGATCGCACGCTACCGGGCCTTCGCCGAGCGTCTCCGACCGCACATTGTCGACGGCGTCAGCTTCATCCACACCGCGCTCGCTCAGAACCGCAAGGTGCTGGTGGAGGGTGCCAACGCGCTCTTCCTCGACATCGACTTTGGCACGTACCCCTTCGTGACGAGCTCGTCGACTTCCATCGGCGGTGTGCTCACCGGCCTCGGTATCCCGCCCACCGCTATCGGCAACGTGATCGGCGTCATGAAGGCCTACACTACGCGTGTCGGCATGGGTCCTTTCCCCACTGAGCTGCACGAGGAGATCGGCCACCACCTGCAGGAGGTCGGAGCCGAGTACGGCACGACGACGGGCCGCCGACGCCGTTGCGGCTGGCTGGACCTGATCATGATGCGCTACTCGTGCCTCATCAACGGCTACACGAGCCTCAACCTGACCAAGCTCGACGTGCTGGACCAGCTCAAGGAGCTCAAGGTGGCGGTGGGCTACGTTGTGGACGGCAAGGAGCTGCCGAGCTTCCCGGCGGACCTCGAGGTGCTGGCCAAGGTGGAGGTGCAGTACAAGACGCTGCCCGGTTGGCAGCAGGACATCTCCAAGGCCCAGACGTGGGAGGAGCTGCCGGAGAACTGCCGCGCCTACGTCGAGTTCCTCGAGCAGTTCCTCGGCGTCAAGATCGAGTGGATCGGCGTCGGCCCTGCCCGAGAGTCGATGATCCACCGCGCATGATCCGTCGAGCGACTCCCAACTCAGTCTCGCCGCGCACGGTTAGCACGCTGCGCCTCTGTCAGTCGATCATACGCAGTCTCTGCGTTGTTTCCATAGAATCTGAAAAGCTTCCTAGATTCGCACCTGTCTGTGTGTGTGTGAGTTCATCTTTGAGGGGCTCTCGTGATCATACCGTGACACCAGCTGAGGAACTGTTGTCATCTGACTCGAACGTGACGCTGCAGGGCTCGGAGAAGCCAACGCCGTCTTCTGTGCGGTCTCATGACGCCGCCAAGGACGGAGCATGCAATTGCTAGGAGGATCACATGGCTGTGCGGAGAGCTCCGATGGGGTCCCCTCAGCCAAAAGGGATGCCAGCATCGGCCAAGGGAAAGAAAGTCGCG